TGACTTGTTGGATCGTCCTTTGTAGGTTAGGCCCCATTATATATTTTTGAATCCATTGTAAGGTGGCATCTCTCCCGTGATGGGCACTATTATGAACGTGCCACAGCACAGTGTCCAAGAGTGTCTCAGGGATCAAAACAATTCCTTGTGCATGACATTTCCAGCCAGGCGAGGTGTGATCAAGTGAATCCCCACTTTTCAGCCTTCTCCTTGTCCTTTTCTGAATGCACCAGCTGGTATTTTGACAAGTCGATCTGCAGGAGAAGTGACCCTATCATGGCTTGATAATCGCCTTCTTTTGCTGCCTTCTTTGCAGCTCGGTCAGCGAACCAGTTGCCCTTTATTATATGAGTTTCGTCCTTCTGGTGGCCTTGGCAGTGCTTTGTGGCCACTTGTGAGGGCTTATGGACTGCTTCTAATAGTGACAGGATTTCAGAAGCGTGTTTTATGTATTTATTGTTTGTAGTGAGGAGCCCCCTTTCTTTCCAGATTGCCCCGTGAGCATGCACCACAGAGAATGCACAGCGAGAGTCTGTGTAAATATTTACTCACTTCCCTTCAGTGAGAAATAGGGCTCTTGTCAGAGCAATGATTTCTGCCTTCTGAGCTGAGCTCCCTGGGTGCAGGGCTTTGGCTTCAACAGTCATTTTAAGGGTACCGTTGCATACCCAGAGTGTGGCCTACCTTGGTCCATGATGCTGCTTCCATTGGTGAACGGTCCCATATCTAGCTCGACCAAGGGTTGGTCCATAAAGTCCAGTCTGCTAGAGCACACTAGCTCCATGACATGTAGGTGTCGTGCTCTGGGGATTGTGCAGAATCATTTGGAATCAATGTGGCTGGATTTAGGGCTGAAGTGACCTGAAATCTTATACTGGGATTGCCTAAGAGAATGGCTTGGTACTTTCTCATTTTCCCAGAAGTCAGCCAACAGCCCCCGCTTTGTTCCAGTAAAGAACGGACATGGTGAGGGACAAACACAGTGGTGGGTTGCCCCAGGGTAAACTTCTCAGCTTCCTGAGGTCTGTCACAAGTAGTTGCTATAGCTCCAAGGCAAAGGGGCCATCCCTTAACAGTCTGTTTTAGTTGTTTTGTGAAGTAGGCAACGGGGTAGAGGGATATTCCCCAGAGTTTGAATGAACATGCCAAAATTTATGCCTTGTCTCTCATGGACATATAATCTGAAAGGTTCTTTTAAGTCTGGTAGTCCCGCAGCTGGGGCTGAGATTAACTTTATTCTTATTGTTTCAAAGGCTGTTTGGCACTCTTTAGTCCAAGTAAGGGGCTCAAAATCATGTCCCTTTAAAGCCTCATAGAGGGGCTTTCCTATGAGCCCAGAGCTGGGGATCCAAATCCAACAGAACCCTGCTAGTCCCAGAAACCCCCTCAGTTGTCTGTGAGTCTTGGGTGTTCCAGTGCCTGCAATTGCCTGTTTTCTATCAGGCAAAAGACCCCGCTGTCCTTGGGAAAGGACAAAGCCCAGACATATGACTTGTTGCTTACATATTTGGGCCTTTTTCTGGGAGACCTTATATGCACAACTGGCCAAACAGTTCGGGGTTCTGATGGTATTTTGTAAACACTTATCATATGTATGACTCGCTATGAGCAAATCATCAACATACCGGAATAGGAGTCTTTCATCCAATATGAAGTTTCTAAGGTCCCTAGCCAACACTTCCCCAAATAAGGTAGGGGAATTCTTAAATCCTTGAGGTAGGACTGTCTAACAATACCGTTGGACTACCTGTGTTTCTGGGTCCTGCCATTCAAAAGCATACAGCTGCTATGATTCTTCTGCAATAGGAATGCAGAAAAAAAAGCATCTTTCAAGTCCAAAACTGCGAACCAGCTGTATTCTCCCTGAATAGTTGTCAGCAGAGCATGTGGATTAGGTACCACCCATTAGGGGTACAAATCTTGGACTATTTCATTAACAGCCCTCAAGTCTTGGAAAAGCAATACTCTGCTGAGTTTGGCTTTTTGACCAGGAGATTAAGGCTGTTATATGGGGACCTGCAAGGTTTATTCAGTCCTATTTTCAAAAACTTTTTGAGAATTGGCTGAATTCCCTTTTGGGCCTCTTGCCTCAGAGGGTATTGTTTTAGATTAGGTGTCCCAGCATTTCTTTATAAGGGGATTTGCATTGGCCATGTGTTTTTGGCCTTCCCTGGGGTGCCATCAGCCCACACTTCTGGCCTTACCTTTTCGAAGCCTCGGGGGGACAGAGCTCTGTCTCCTTTTCTGGGGTGTCCATGAGTGCCATCTGTAGGCTTACAGTGTGCTCTGGTGGGACCCCAATGTCAAGCTGTCCTGGCAAAAAAATTACTTGAGCATTTAATTTCCAAAGGAGATCTCGGCCCAGAAGAGAGATTGGATATACTGGCATATATAAGAAACTGTGTTTCCAGGTGAGGTCCCCTAACTGGGATTCTAGAGGTTGTAAGAAAGAATGATTTTGTACTTCTCCAGAAACTCCCTTGACCAGGGTGGATTGAGATGTTTTCTGCGCCACCTTGGTATTTACCACAGGGTATGTTGCACCCATATCTATCAGAAAGTCAATCAACTTGTCCCCCACTGTCAAAGTTACCTGGGACTCCTGTGGGGAAATTGGAATTGGACGCCTCAAGTCGAGCCCACAGGCCTCTTCATTCATTTTCAGAGTGTTCCTCTCTTTCTACCACATGAGAGGCCCCCATCTTTCCTTCATTGTTTTCATTCTTATTTTTTAGTCTAGGGCAATCTGTTTTCCAATACCCTTCCTCCTCACAGTAAGCACACTGTTCCCTCCCCAGCGGTGGCTTACCTCTCTTCAGGTTACTCGCCTTCCGAGAATCTAATGCTGCTGCCAGAAAAGCTGCATTCCATTTTGCACCTTCTTCCTTCTGTCATTGTTCCCTGTTGCTCAACACTTTAAAAGCAGCATCTACCGGTTGCGAAGGGTTCATTCCAAATGTACCATCTAACTTTTGTAATTTTCTTCTTGTATCTTGGGCACTTTGCCCTATGAAGGTCATATTTACCATTGCCATATTTTGGGGGGCCTCGGGGTCTGCATCAGTGTAGCACCTATAAGCTTGAAATGGCCACACTCTAGGGCTTCCCTGGTGGCGCAGTGGTTGAGAGTCCGCCTGCCGATGCAGGGGACACGGGTTCGTACCCTGTTCCGGGAAGATCCCACATGCCGCGGAGTGGCTGGGCCCGTGAGCCATGGCCACTGAGCCTGGGCGTCTGGAGCCTGTGCTCTGCAACGGGAGAGGTCACAACAGCTAGAAGCCCGCGTACCGCAAAAAAAAAAAAAAAAAAAAAAATCATATGATTGAATAAGCAAAGGGAAAATACAGAAGGACATTTGCCTAAATTATCAAGGCCTCCCAGTATTTTCCTGTTCCTAATTCCAATGTTTAATTCTCAGGCCTTATCTTCCTTGACTTATCAGCCGATCTGACATGGCCGATCACTCTCTTCCTTGAAATACTTTCTTCACTTGGTTTCTCCCCTGTGATGTACCCTTGGTTTCCTCCTCCTCCGCTGGCCTCTCCTCAAGTCTCCCTTGCTGCTTCCTCCTCCTTTCCTTGACTTTCAAACATTGGAGCTCCCAGAACATAATCCCTGGACCTCTTCCATGCTCAGCTCCTGCCTCAGACTTTAAATTTCAACTATCTGTTGGATGATACTCAGATTGCTATCACCAGCCCTGACCTCTGCCCAGACCTCTGCCCAGACCATTGGGCTCATATAGCCAACTGTCTAACTGACTTCTGAGGTCTAATACACATTTCTAATCCTGCTATGACCCGTCACACCTTATCCTCCTAGTCTTCTCCATCTCAGTCATGGAAAATGACTCTCATCTAGTTGCTCAGGATCAAAACCTGATTGTTATTGACTCCTCTCTTTATTTTACACTCCATATATAAATTCTGTGGATTCTACCTCCAAAATTCAATTCGAATCTGACCATATTTCCCCTTTCCACTGCTACCACCCTGATCCAAGTCACTACCAATTCTTGGCCTTGATTACCGCAATAGCCTATCTCATCTCATTACTGTGTACAATAACCTAATAGAAAAAAAAGACCAAAAGATATGAACAAACTGTTAATAGAAAAGAAAGCCCATAAACATAGGAAAAGGTGATGGGTCTCATTCATGATAAGGGAAACTACACTGAGATACCATTTCACATCTATCAGCTTGGCAAAAATCTGATAGTTGACAACATATTCTGTTGACAAGGCTTGGGAAACAGGCCCATACACTGTTAGTGGGAATATAAAATAGTACAGTACCTAGGAAGAGACGTTTACTGCTATCTAGCAAAACTACCTGTGCAGCTGCCCTTTGACTCAGGGACCCCATTTTTAGGAATTCTATCCCAAAGACACACATGCACAAATACAAGTGAGCTAAGTACAAGGGGGATCTTTGTCTCCGTTATTTATTTTTTGCTCTATTATTTATGAAAAGTGCCTGCAACATATTAGGTACTCAATCAATATTTGTTGAATGACGTTTAGCCAATGTTGGACTTTATTGGTCCTGTTTGCTTTGTTAGCAAGTGCTGAAACAACCATTTTATGCCTACACTCCAAGGGAATCCCAACTCTCAAAATTAAAAAACTTTTCACCATGGGGCCCTGATTCATTTTAGTGGAGAAGGGTGTTAAAGAGCACAATTTAACATGCTGTGTCGCTCTCTCTGGATGCTTGGCTGAGGAGAGAGCCAGAGCTCAGAGCCCCTCTCCTCCTCATTCCCAGCCTGGTCTGCTCCTCACCTGTATCTTCTGCATTTGCCTTTTGATATTCTCAGCTCAAGTCATCAGACAAACCGACAGCAACCTCTACAGCAACAATGACAGTATTGCTCTTGGGGTCACCCTGAAATGGGACCTGACTTTACGCTAATCCCACCTGAACCCACAAGACTCCTATTCTGAGACCCTCCCTGCCCCCAATCCTACGAGGGGAGAGCCCACTTCAGGGTACCCCTACCTCTTCGCAGAACATCACAGGAAGCCTCAGAAGTTCCCTGTAGCAGATTGGTCTCCACTTCTGCCCAGGGGCATCTGCTGGTCCTATCCCCACTGGGCAGGACAGTCTCAGGCTCTTGCAGCGCTCTGGCTCAGACACTCCTCATCCTAAAGCCAGGTCACTGTCACCATCTGGGGATGGAGTGAAAGATAAGCACCTCAGGGGGAACTTGCCCTCCAGGACCTCCCTGATGGAGCCATGAGGGTGAGACAGCATGTGAAACAGCCCAAGCTTAAATTGGTTTTGCCTCCTTAAATAGGTTGTTGAAACAGCACTAGCTTAAACTGGTTTTACCTCCTTAGATAGGTTAATTGATTAATCGAACTTGAGTTATTTTAAAGAAACAGCACTGCTCCGTGTGCAAGACGGGAGCCCTTGTCTCCAGGATGACCCTGGAAGAGAGAATCTTAGTCTACAGAACTCAAAGAATAGAAATGATGCCACCAGAGCCCTTTAAAAAGCGAGAAGCCCTTCAATAAGGAAAATCTGGCTTCCAGGAGCAGTAGTAGCTTATATGGACTAAATCAAGACCGTCAATCAGCATCCAAGTTTGAAATTTCCCTAAACCCTATACATTTCCCCCTGAACCCTGGATCAAGGAGACAGATTTGAGAGCTTTGCCTCCTATCTCCTTGCGGGTGGATTTCCCGATAAAGCTCTGATTGGTAGCGAGCTGCGTAACAAGCAAAATCCAGTAAGTCGGGAGGACTAGGCCTTCTCTTCCCCACCTTGGGGCACAGAGCAGGACATGACTAGGCCAGCAGAGGGCACTCAGCCTCGACACTGAGGCCCGAGTCCGGCGGGGAAGGGTGTGAGCCCACCGCGCAGAGGAGGGAGTGCGCCCCCCACTTGATACACTTCAGCGGCTCCTGGGCACCCTGCAGCGCCCAGAGCCCCGGAAGCCTTTCTCCGGATCCTCCGGGGGTTAGGGTCAGGTTGCGCTGCATGGGGTGCTCGGTCCTCAAACGCTGCCTCTTGCGGAGAATAAGTCCCTCTCTGCGTTCCACCTGGAAACGCAACTCCCCTGCAGGGCTGCGGGGCTCGCTGGATGCTGCTGTCTCCCCTCCGGGTTGGAGGATCCCGGAGCAGCCACAGGGTGGAACCCAGACCCTGGGACCCAGCGAGGTGCTGGAGAGGCGCCTGAATAGCAAGCCTGGAGCCCCGCGCCCGGGCAGGAGGAGGAGGGAAGAGGGGGGGGGTCGTGCTCGGGCTTGGGTCCCAGCTCCCTAGCACCATCTAAGATCACCACCCCTCTCCCCCGGTCCATTCCGGCTATCAAGCCAGGCTCCCTTATCGCTTCAACCCCTGGGCCCTCCGGTCCCTCTTTCTTTCCTCACCTCCCCCGGGACAAAGTGACCGGCGACGTCCCGAAGGTGGCTCTGGCCGCTCTCGGAGACCCGGCGACGTCTCGGCCCGGCTCTGCCTGCCCAGTGCCGCCAAGGGGCCCGCAGTCCACTGCGGAAGAGCATCGGCGCCGCCCGGGCTCCTCCTCCCGCGCTACGTTCGTGGCGACCCTGCAGCGCAAGGGCTGCAGGCGGGAGCCCTCACCGCGCTCTCCCCAGAGCCAGGCGCTGAAAGCCTCCTGGTAAACACCGGCGAGGGTATCCTCCGCCTTCTCTCTGAACGCGGGCGGCTCACAGAGCGAAACCCAGAAGCAGGGAGTTTAAAAGGTGGGAAAGGGCGGCCTCGCCTTCTTGGGCCTCGAGGTAGGTCCCCAGCACCGCCCACCTGGGGCGAGCCCGACACCCGGCCCCGCGGACACCTGGCCGGAAGCCCAGCTGCAGTGAGGAAACTGCGCGGTGGAAACAGATTGCCTGGTTTTCTCCGCATTCATTTCGCGCAGTTTTCCGGAGGCCTAGCAAAAGGTTGCGACCGTTTCCAGCAGCGCCCCTGGGTTAACTGGTGAGATTCAGGACCGGGGTCCGACAGGAGCACTGACAGGGAAGGAGCACCACCTCGCGGTCAGCGCGAAGGTTATCGGAAAGACCTCAAAGGAAAGCGAAGAACCATCCTGCCCCCCACTGGGAACCCCTACGCCTTTCACAAGGACACTCCACCTTCACCCCTAATTCCATCCCGCACCCCACTGGGAACCCCTACCCCTTTCACAGGGACACTCCACCTTCACCCCTAATTCCATCCCGCACCTTGAGGGGCCTCCAAAGGACACCTCAGCTGCCGCGTTAAAGCTCTGTCCATGCTCTTGCAAATAGCGGCCCCTTGGCCTCCTCTGAACCTATGGGTGTTCTCACCTGGGGGGAGACGGTAGCCTTAGGATGGCGTGACCAGAACAGGGCAGCACCTGGCAGTGGGGCTTTTGGGGATGGGCAGGGAATTCCAGAGTCCTAAGCAGCCAAAAGGGGGTGGCTGAGGAGGCACATCCCTTGGCCCCCAGGATTTCTTACCCACTGGAAAGGATGGTGAGTCTAGAGGAGAGCCAGAGCCAGGCTCTCTCAAGTGTGGGTCTCTTGCTCCGGTGTAAAGGCGGCAGTGCCTTTTTCCATCTGTCTCACTTACCTGAGTGTCTCCTATGCCCCACCCCTGTCCCATGCTGTATGTTATTTTCCTCTCATTCCTCCATCCTTCCTTGTGGCCTCCATTTCCTGGGTGCCATTGCTGTCCATCTCATTCCTGCCTCTTTCCCTATCTCCCAGGTGGCCCCCATCTCTTCTCTTCCTTTAGTCACACTGAGCATGTCGTTAATAATGTTAAAATTCCAAGCTTACTTAACACCTATGAGCCAAAGACTGTTGTAAGGGCTTTACATATATTAAATTAATTCCCGTAAGAACCCTATGCTGTAGGCACTAGTATCGCCCTTGTTTTTAGATGGGGAAACCGAGGTCCCCAGAGAACTTTGCCAAAGAACTGAGACGTGAACCCAGGTCATCTGGCTCCTGTGTCTGGTCCCTTAACCATAACACCCCGCTGCTCCTCTGTTGGATTTCTTTTCCACTTGTGGATTTGACTGAGGCCGTGAAAACTTCATATGGATTTCAGCAATCTTGGAGAAGTTTCACCTCCTCTCTGGATCCCATGATCTCTGTAGCTCCATGGCCCTCTTGTTGCTTTGAGTTTATATTTCACTTCAACATCTGCTAAGGTCCTATTTGAACTTTCTAGTCTTGTCTCAGACGTCTTACAAGGAATTAAGGGAGTACGAAGGGTGAGTAGTGTCCCTGTGCAGCTAGAATATTGGTGGCAGGAAAAGCAGTGAGAGATTTGTCACCCAAAGAAAAGGTGAAAACGTAGCCACCAGGTCTGGCTTCCCCTCTACACGTGTCCTTCAGTTCTCACCTCAGAGTCTGGCTTTGATTTCGTTTCAGAGATGAAAATTTATGTTCACTTTTCTCCATTGCTTTCCCACTTCTTGCGGATTGAGCCCCAGATGTGCTCAGCCTCACCTGTGAGTCCGTCCTAGCCACAGAGCACCAGTTCCTTCAGGGAGAGAGGTTCTCAGGCAAGATCAGGGCCGACAGGAGGTAAGAGTTCAGGGAATATTTGGTGAATTCAAAGAGGTTCTTACTCAATCCTTTTGTGGGAAACATGGACCCTAGGAAGGAGAAGTCGGCGTGGGCCTCAGAAAGGTTTGACAACATGTGTTGGCTGGTCCTGTTCTGCTCTGGCTATCTCTCCAAGAGGGGGAGGTTCTGTCCTTGGACAGCTGAGTTCTGCCATCATCTCCCCCAGTGCCACCCACCAGTGAGTGTAACCAGCAGGGAGGCTCTGGGGGCAGAAGTCCCCCTAAATGCTGGACTTTGCAACTTCAACCCCGGACCCTCAGACTGATTTGGCTCGAAATGTCTTTTGGAATTCCAGAGGCTGGCACAGCACCTCCTGTGACACTCAGGGCTAACCTGAAGTGGGCTGTCTCCTGGCAAGGTTATAGGGCAGGGTTAGGGTCAGGATAGAAGTCTTGTGTACTTAGTTGAGTCCAATTTAAAAGCAGGTCCCATTTCAGGGTGGTCCTAGGGCTTTTGGACTCTGACAGGAGTCATTGCTATTTTTGTTGCTGTTGCCTTTGTTATCATGACGATTCAAGTTTAGAAAAGGAGCCAGAGTAACTGTTAACTGTCTATGTAAGTGGCAGAGCTGAGATAGAACCCAGGACTCTCTGGTCCCAGAGCCACACACCCAGCCACTGCCCCACACTGATCTCTCTGCTTGGGCCCTGCTACCCCAGGATGAAGTTTCCTCTCTATTTTTAATATCAACCACATCCATTACCTTGAGCCTGCTCCTTTCATGTCCATTAGTACTGCTCCATCGGTTGTTCCCTCATCCTCTTACATATCCAATCTCTCCCTCTTAATTGGCTCCGCTTGGCATAAGAACAATGATTCTGTGGCCTGAAAATCCCTTTCCATTGATCCTGCCTCTCAAGCTACCATCCCGTTTCTCTCCTTTTACCATCTCCTTTTACTTCTTAAAAAACAAAAGCAAACAAAAAGGTAGCTCTAAAAACTAATCTATGCTTTTAGGAGTCAGGAAAGCAGTTATTTGTTGAGCTTTATACTACGTGCACTTTGCTATATATATATATATATATATATATATATATATATACACACACATATACATACTACACATATGTAAGCACAACTATGCTCTATTATAAATACATATTATATGTATAAAATAGCATAAGTTATATTGAGTATGTGTTTTATATGATATATATTACTTCAATAAATGTATATTAAAATATGTATATTTTAATAATATATAATAATAAATATATGTAACTTCAATAGAAAATTAACAAAAGAAGAGAGAGAGTAGCCTAATTCTCTTTTCTACTCCCTCCCTCCTTCCTCTCCCACTCAATCATTATCCTTCCTTGCAATCTGGCTGTCATGTCCACCTTCAAAGGCCACCAGCTGCAGTGGCCCCTGCTAGACACTCCTCCCTCGCTGGACACTGTCACCATGCTCTCCTGTCCCGAATGCCTGACTGACGCCCCTCCTTCTCCTCCCACTTCGGGGGTCCTGCTGCTACTGTTAACTCCACTTGGGATGCCTTTTCTCTCCATCTCTGCCTGTCTGCCTGTCAACGTTCTGCCTCCTTGTCAAGATCTAACTCAATTAACACCTTCACCTGGAAGCCCTCCCCAGTTCTCCCAATTCTGCATCCTCTGTGCTCACTTGACACTTTGGGGGTAACTCTGGAGTAGAACTCTTCTCATTTATTCAACAAACGAATGCCCATCATGGGCCAGGGACTAGGGGTACTTTCTGCCCTGTGTTAGTTATTGGTAATATTAACTTTTGCAATTTGAATTGCAAGAAACATAGACTCACTCAATATTTTCCTTCAAATACATGGGATTGGGTAATGGGAATTTCTTATCACCTTGCCATCTAACAATTTGTCTTCTTCCAAGAATAGAAAATATTATTTGATTTATGACCATTGTTTCCAAGCAAAATATGCCAGAGGGCATCTTTCTAGCAAGATGATTGTGAGTTTGCACTGAAGAATAACTAAAATGTGTAAAGCTCCCTCTCCATCCCCACCCGCACTTGAAGTTCTTTTGTTCAGGGATCCTGCTGGCCCATCCCTAATTTTAGGCAGAGTTTTTATTTTTCCTTTGATGGTTTGCCTGGGCCCAACCCCTCCCCCACTCCCACTCCCTGCAGGGTGAATGGCTTTAGCCCAGAGGAGACTAAGTACAGCTCAGCTCTCTGGCCTGGGGCCAGTGATGAAAGTCCTGAACAGCCAGTCTTCCCTGCTAGAGTGAGGGGCCATTCTGTAGAAGCTGAATTGTAGGTTGTATCCCCCTCCCCTGTTTTTCTACCCAAAAACATGAATCAGCAACAGCAGACTGGACCCCAAGAATGTCTTTAAAATGGGAATTTTTCTCCTTTGTCAGAAGATTGAAAACGACAAGAATGAAATCTAGATGCAGTTGAGATTGGGGCTGCCACATATGATTATTTTGGTTGGGCACTGCACATGTGTTCCTCATCTAAGAGGGCACCATTCATATCACAGACACCTTTATTATTCTGCAAATGTTTGTATGTTTGTTATTGTTTATCGCAGAGATGGATGCTTTGTATATTTATTACAACCTCCCTGCAGATGGCAGTAAAGTGTCTTGTTTTAAGAGGTTTAATATATTTTGTTCTGCTTCCATGCACAAAGGAAAAATGAATCAATAATCAAAGCCAACAACAGCTCTAATGTCATCTAAAATATTTCTGCTTCTAAACAAGAAACTGCTTTTCTAATTGATATACTGATAGGTATTTCAAAAATTAAAAATAAATAATCCCCATTGTTAGTGCACCAACTAATTTAATGTTTCATGTTGCATGACATCACCTCCTGTTTATTTGCTGTTTTCAAAAGGTATCGCTGAGTTCCCAACATAAATCTACAAGGATTTTCATTATTCTATGGGTCATCATCAAACTAAATACATATGCTCAAATAATCCATAAAAAAATTATATGCACATAAATTAGAAATCACTATTTAATGATCTGGAAATTACATAATAGCAATCACTTGTTGTTATGGATATTCTGTTAGTAATACTATTAACACGACAATATTTAGCAGCTTGTCGATTAGGTATTTTGTGTGTTACATACTAACACACAAAATTAGTTCTAAAATAAAATATGATTTCAGAATCAGAAAACAGAGAAGAAAATGAAAAAGAATAATTTAGATCATTAAATACATTTTGGAGAAGATGGAATGGGGGCAGACTGCTGGATTAGGATGTGGAAGAGAAAAAGAAAACATTAAACTGGAGATTCATCTATCTATCTATCTATCTATCTATCATCTATCTATCAATCTAATATACATATATGTTTATGTATATTTTGTCTATCCAGGTACCTGGCTATGTAATTTGAATATTTAACGATTTGAATATTAACAAGATTCTA